GCCCGGCCAACACGGTGAAACCCCGTCTCTACTAAAAACACAAAAATTAGCCGGGTGTGGTGGCGTGTGCCTCTAGTCCCAGCTACTCGGGAGGCTGAGGCTGGAGAATCGCTTGAACCCGGGAAGCAGAGGTTGCAGGGAGCTATCATGCCACTGCACTCCAGGCTGGTGACAGAGCGAGACTCTGTCTCAAAAAAAAAAAAGTGTTAGAATAAAAGACATTAGGGAAGAGTTAGATAATCATGAAGAGAAGACTCAGTTATCATTTTATTTTATTTATGACTCTTTTTAAACGAGATGGAGCTCTGTTGCCCAGGCTGGGTTGCAGTGGCGTGGTCATGGCTCACGGGGCAGCCTCAGTCTCCTGGGTTCAAGTGATCCTCCCACCTCACTCCCTGGGCAGCCAGGCCAGGACCGCAGGTTGCACCACCATGGCTGCCTATTTTTTTAATTTAATTTTATTTAAGAAATAACTGTTTCACTGTGTTGCCCAGGCTGGTCTCAGACTCCTGGGCTCAAGCAACTGTCCTTCCTTGACCCCCCGAAATGCTGAGATTATAGGTGTGGCCACTACATCTGGCCTCCATATCTTAAAAATGTCACATTTCCCTAAATTGATATATAGAGTCAATGCAGTTCCAAGCAAAACTTTCTGCAAAGGTCTGCAGGAGAACAAGGTGGGTGCTCACCCGACCAGACGTGAAGATGAGTGATGATGCCACAGGAATCTAGGCAGTGTGACATCACGTAAAACTCAGGGCCGGGCGCAGTGGCTCAAACCTGGAATCCCAGCACTTTGGGAGGCTGAAGCAGGAGACTCGCTCCAGGCCAGGAGTTCAAGACCAGCCTGGGCAACACAGCGAGATCCGGTCTCCACAAAAATTTTAAAAATTAGCTGGGTATGGCGGCATGTGCCTTTGTTCCTAGCTACCCAGGAGGCTGAGTTGGGAGGATTGCTTGAACCTAGGATTTTGAGGGTGCAGTCAGCTATGATCACACCACTGCACTCCAGCCAGACAAAACGAGACCCTGTCTCTTAAAAAAAGAAAGAAAAAGACAACCAGGCATGAGGGTCCCCAAGATCACCCTGAGGTTCAGTGTCACTAAGTGTCCTGCAGCTACAGGAGGTAAGAGTGACACTCAGGGCCACCCACAGGACTCAGCACACAGCCACACTCTGGCTGTGACACACTTCAGTGAACAGGACACGGCCACACGTGTAGCAAAGTAAAGAGGCTCAGGGACGGGGCACAGCCCCGAGGAAGCCAGGCTCAGGCACCCCAGAGCCTCTGCAGGCGAGTCACGCGAGGTGTGCTTCTGCAGTGAGCCGTCATGACACGTGCGAAGTGTTGTCTGCCTGAAAAGTCCGTTCCCGACCCGTCGCCTGAGGCTGTTACTGGGGGGTGGCCACGTCGATACCCTCTGCCTGGCATGTACCGAAATTCCGGAGTCCTGGATGGAAAGTGACGTCCAGCATAGGGAAGGTTAAGCCCAGCAAACTGCCTTCACCGTTGAGGGAAGGTTTCCATCAGTCCAGGAGCTGGTTCCCAGCCGTTCCCCGCCTCGCAGGCAGGCCTTTCTTAGGGCAGCAGCGGCAGCCACGCGGCGTTCCACGGAGCAGAACGTGTGAACAGCCAGGGAGCGTCTGGGAAGATGCTCAGCTTCATCAGTCATCGGAGAAAGGCAGGTTCAGAGACAACGGAAGCTCACGTGACGTGGACAGGACCGGCACGTGGACAGAGATTAATAACGTCAATGGTGAGCGTCGTTTCTGTTGTAATTCAGCTGCTCCCACGATGAAACTCTAGGCATGGTTTTCAGCTGTTTGAATTCTGCAGCCACGGGAGATAAGCGCCGAAGCCTGCGGGGCCTTCACGCGGAGTGTGCGCCTGAGCTCGGCTTCCTCCCACTGGCCTCCTCTTCCCACAGCCTCCGGCACTGCGGCAACCCTGCCCGTCCCACTGTTCCCAGCAGCTGGACTGCAATGCTCTCAAGTAGTAAATACCTGGTCCCTCAGAATCTCTCCTTCTCTAGGTTCCCAATTAGGGCTATCCCATGGCAGTTCTGAATAATTTTCCAACACCTCAGCATGGACTACGGCGCCCTGTTTGCTGCTGGAAACCGGGCCCTTTGTGTCCCTAAATGTAACAGTATTACAGAACCAATTCCAGAAGTCCCAGAACCGGTGCAGACGACTCGTCTGTGAGACTTTTCTCTGCAACCACCACCAGCGCCAAAATTGGTCTGCTGGGCTGATGAAGGGAAGAAGCCCGTGGGAGAGGAATACTGAGACTGACTGGGAAGAACTGGCCTCCGTGCTCGCAGGTGGCTGACCACCCACGTCCGGGAAGGTGGGGAGTGGCGTGGAGCATCACTGCCACGTTTCCTGGTCAATTCAGGGTCTGTGGAGGCGGCCGAGGGCTGATGCCCTGGGCTTTCTGAAGCCTTGGGTTTGCTTTCGAAGACTGACTGTGTGTTCGGCCCCTCACTCCGGCACAGCCACACACGCGGCTTCTCAGGTCACGCTGTTGGGAGCTTTTGCCACCTGGACAGGCTGAGTCTCCCAGATCATCAAGTCCTAGTTCCTTTCTGTTTAAAAGCTCTCGCTGGCTGGGCGTGGTGGCTCACACCTGTAATCCCAGCACTTTGGGAGGCCAAGGCGGGTGGATCACGAGGTCAAGAGATCGAGACCATCGTGGTCAACATGGTAAAACCCCGTCTCTACTAAAAATACAAAAATTAGCTGGGCATGGTGGCGCGTGCCTGTAATCCCAGCTACTCAGGAGGCTGAGGCAGGAGAATTGCCTGAACCCAGGAGGCGGAGGTTGCGGTGAGCCAAGATCGCGCCATTGCACTCCAGCCTGGGTAACAAGAGCAAAACTCCGACTCAAAAAAAAAAAAAAAAAAGTTTGTAAATTTATTAGTAGTGCTCCTTTTGAAGGTATGAAAAATGAAACTCAAGGTATAATCCTTATATGAAACAATGAATGAATCTACTCAGGAGTCTTAGCAGAAAACACACGATTTGGAAAGACCCTGCCGGGCGCGGAGGCTCCGCCTGTCATCCCAGCACTTTGGGAGACCGAGGCAGATGCATCACCTAAAGTCAGGAGTTCAAGACCAGCCTGGCCAACATGGTGAACCCCGTCGCTACTAAAAATACAAAAATTAGCCGGATGTGGTGGCGGGTGCCTGTAATCCCAGCTACTCCGGAGGCTGAGGCAGGAGAATCGCTTGAACCCAGGAGGTAAAGGTTGCAGTGAGCTGAGATTGGGGTCACTGCACTCCAGCCTGGGTGACAGAGCGAGACTCCATCTCAAAATAAATGAATAAATAAAATAAAATAAAGTAATCAGAAAAATATTTGACTCCTTACTGATGGAAAAAAAATAGAGAGAATAAAAGAAATTAGAAAAATATATGGGTCAGATTACTCATAACTAGTACTTAAACAAATGGAAGGCTCAGGATGGATTTTCCATCTCTCCAGATGTGTCATGAAGAAGTACCACCTTACCCCACCTCTTAAGCCCGAGGGAGAAAACTGGTCAGTCTGGCTTTGGTCTGACACCCTCACGCTTCTGCAGCTGAGGTCTGGGCATCTCGGCTTCACCTGCCTCAGCGGCATTTGCCGAGACCCCGCCTCCATTCCCAACCTTCAGCACTTTCCACGCCATATTTCTGCTAACCATCTGTTTCAGGGTCATCTCGGCTTCCCCTCTGTGATCCTCAGAACTCTGCCGCCTACTCACTACCTGATTCTAAAGCTACTTCCACATTTATTTATTTGTTTTTGAAATGGAGTCTCATTCTGTCACCAGGCTGGAGCGCAGTGACACCTCCCAGGTTCAAGTGATTCTCCTGCCTCAGCCTTTGAGTAGCTGGGATTATAGATGCCCGCCACCACCACGCCTGACTAATTTTCACCGTGTTGGCCAGGCTGGTCTTGAACTCCTGTCCTCATGATCTACCTGCCTCGGCCTCCCAAACTGCTGGGATTACAGGCATGAGCCACCACTTCCATATTTTTAGCTGTTTGTTACACAAGCACCCCACTCCTGGTACCACAATCCATATTATTTTTCTAATCCTGCTGTTAACAATTTACTAAAAGCTTAGCAGCTTAAGACACAGTTTTGTGGGAGTCCAGAAGTCTGGGGGATTGAATCAGGTTATCTGCTCAGGGTCTCGTGGCTGAAATCGCAGAGTGGGTGGCTGGGCTCTCCTATGAGGCTGCTGGGCTCGGTCAGGTGTTGGCAGAACCGTGGCTGCTGGTGGAGGCTTCCTTGTGTGGCCTCCTCCATCTTCAGGCCAGCAATGGGACACGGAGTCCTTCCTGTGCTTTGACTCTCTGTCTTCTGCCTCTTCTGTGTTCCATTCCTCCTTTTTTTTTTTTTAGGATGGAATCTTGCTGTCAGCCAGGCTGGAGTGCAGTGGTGTGATCTCAGCTCACTGCAACCCCACCTCTGGGGTTCACGTGATTCTCCTGCCTCAGCCTCCCAAGTAGCTGATATTACAGGTGCCCACCACCACGCCTGGCTAATTTTTGTATTTTTAGTAGAGATGGGGTTTCACCATGTTAGCCAGGCTGGTCTTGAACTCCTGGCCTCAAGTGATCCATTTGCCTTGGCCTCCCAAAGTGCTGGGATTACAGGCGTGAGCCACGGCGCCTGGCCCCATTCCTGCCTTAAAGGGCTCATGTGGTGACACTGGGCCCACCCAAATAAGATAGTCTCTCTCTCTTAAGGTCAACTGATTAGTAGCCTCAATTATATTACCTGTAAATTGCTTTTGCAGGACAATGAGGCTGAGGCTGGGACCATCTCAGCCCCTTGGCCCCCAACGGCTCCATCCTTGGCTGTCCTGTTCCCAGAGCCTGCCTGGCACAGCTGGCAGCTGTGGACGAGCTGGAGGGAGGACTTTGGTGCTGAGGGTGGGCATACCTGTGGCAGGGGCAGCTGCTCCCAGGGAGGACCCCAAGCCCCTCCCCGCACACTCACCTCAGCTGCCCTGCGGTGGTCCTCACTGCTGCGCAGCACCTGCGCATCCACGCCCAGACAGCGGAGGCTCCGTGCCAGCCCCTGCAGCATGTTGTCACACACCACGCGGAAGGCCCTGGCAGGGACCTGAGGGATGGTGGCCTCAGTCACAGCCACAGGGACCTGCAGTGAGGGCCCAGTCAGCAGCTCCACAGTCACCCACCCGGCCCTTCACAGCCTCACGGTCACCCGCCCAGCAGAAATGCAGACAAAATGAAAGGAAACCATCCCAGGGGGCTCTAGTGCTCACACTGGGGGGGCCTCCACATGTGTGTCTGGGGTGCGTGTGTGGCCTAGAGTGGGTGGGGGTCACGGGGAGGTGCCTAGATGCTGCCCTGGGCCACGGGAGGGGCCTGCCAGGCCCAGTGTCAGGGGGGCACCTTGCCCGAGCAGTGGCCCCTAGTAAAGGGCGGTCTCCACGACAGTCACGCAGGAAATTCCCCAGGACTCTGCTCCGTCTCACTGCAGGGGCAGGGGGCCAGGGCCAGGGAGCTGAACCCCCTCCACACGCTCTGACTCAGCGACCTTGTCTCCGAGCAGGTCCCTATTTTAGGGACAGATACCTCCTTCCCCAGGAATCCCGACAAAGGGACCCTGCGGGGCTTCACGCACCTGCCTGGGTGCGGCCGACGCCGAAGCGTCCTGCAGGCTGGGCGGCTCCTCTGTTCCTGGTCTCTCTCTGTGCCTGGGCCTCTGGCTCCCAGCCAGGTCCCCCGACAGGTGGAAGCGGGCGGGCTCTCTGCACAGGGCTTGATGCACCTCCAGCAGGCAGTAGGCATCAGCAGCTGTGAGGAGTTGGCCTCAGCCTCTGGCGCAGCTGGCGGGAGGGCCGTGGGGTGTGAGAAGGGGTCACCGCCACCTGCCACCCCACACACCTGCGTAGATGAGCTTCTCCTCGCAGAGTGGCCTCCGGTCCCAGTTGGACAGCTGCTGCGTCTTGTCCAGGGTCGTGCCCAGTACCTGCTGCACTAGGAGGCTCAGGCCTCTCAGCCCACCAGCCCCGTCCACGCCTGGGGTTGGCATGCCTGCCACGCGCATCTGCTGAGACAGTGTCCGCAGATGATGCACCTGGCCCTGGAGGATGGCCCACCACGCCCACTCACACCAGCCACGTGGGGGCCGTGGAGGAGGACGGCCCCCTCTGCCAGTGGCCAGTGCAGCAGAGACAGGGAGAAGGAGCAGACATAGCTAAGGACAGGCTCCATGTGGGGGTTGCAGGCTGCGGGGGACGCACCTGGGGACAGCTCCAGGGTTCACACCTTCACCCCCAGGGCTCCTGCCCAGAGCTGCTCCGAGTGGCACTTGGAGCCTCCGTCCCGGGAAGGTGCCCTCACGCCAGATGAGGGGCCCACAGGGGCTCAGGGACGCCGGTGCCAGGAGGCTCCTCTCCCTCCCTGGGGACGCCAGTCCCACTTCTGCCAGGCCCTGCTCCGGGGCCCTGATGGCTGAGGCTGCGCTGACAGGAATCCAGCTGGAGAGGCTCAGGGTCGTGCAGGAGGGACCCCAAACAGCCCTCAAGCCCCAGGCCCACCCGGGCGTCGTGTGAGCGGATCGTCGCAGTGGCGCCCACCTGTCTGTGCACCAGCAGCAGGTCCACGCCACCCAGAACCTGCTTCTCCACGTGGGCCAAGGCGGGGCAGGACGTGCCCAGTTTCTGCAGGTCCCCTGCCATCCCATAACCTGTGGGCAGGAACCATCGTGGGAGGGGCACCAGACCCCAGGTGCACCCAGCACCCTCCCCGGGCACATGGAGGAAAGGGTCGGGCAGAGATTCGGGCTGCTTCCCTTCTGGACTGGCAAGGGCCCAGGGCTGCACTCACCCAGCTTGGTGATGGACGGGTCTGAGAGAAGCTGGGTCACCAGCTGGGAGAAGGCCCGGGCTCCCTGTCCTGCTGGCGGCTGCGTGAGTGCCTGGATGTCGAGGAGGAACACGTGGCCCTCCATGGCCACTTGCAGGAGTGATGGCCGGGGCCGGCCCCCAGCGACGAACACCGGTGTCCACTCCAGGTCCACGGCAACCACCTGCTGGGGCTGCGGGCAGAGATGGGCAGCTGTAAGCGTCGGGGCCAGCTCAGCTGGCTTCGGGGAGACGCCACCCTGCACGCTTGGGGCTAGGGCTGTTGGGGACACTAAGGTCAATGTCCCAGCTGCCCCTCGCTTTCTATGGCTGGACCAGAGAGGGGAGGCCTGGCTGTTGTGAGCAAGAGCCTGGCCGAGTGCCAACGGCACTGCCCATGTCAGGGACCCACCCCACATCTTGGGGCCCCATCTGTAACATGGGGACCCCACGACAGCTTCCTCAGGCTGGCAGGAGACCCCGGTGAAGGCCAGCACCCAGCAGCCCGGAGCGTCACCAGCGCACAGCATGGGGAACGGCTGCCCTCACAGCAGCTCTGGGGCACCTGGTGGCTCCCTGCCCAGAGGCTGTGCTTCCCTCCAAATACCGCGCCCCTGAGGCTCCTCCGGCTCTCAGCAGGGGGTCCTGCCACAGGGAGCTGCCCCTGACCTGCAGGAGGGCACCCTCATGTCTGGCCAGGTCTTCCCGAGAGGCCAGGAGGTAGACGTTCTCCCTGGGGATGGGCAGCTGGTAGTGCCGGTCCTTCACCTCCTTCACGTCGGGCTTCGAGTCAGCCTCAGCCGCCCTGGGAGGAGCAGAGCTGGTGGCGTCCCCATGTCCTGCGGTCCCTGGTCCCCACCCACTCTGACCGCAGGGCTGGAGGGGAATGCTCAGGGCCTGTTTGGTGGGGGCGTCTGGAGTCCTGGATCCTCCTCCCACACAGGCTCAGTGCAGGCCCCAGCATGACCCCTGCTCCTGCCCCTCCTGCCAGGTGACTGCCCCCAGACCCCTGCATGGGTTGGCCCGGCCGAGCCTGTGGTGGCGCGGTCTGTGGGCGGCAGGCCCTGCCGTCTTCTCTGCTCCGTGCACAGCTGTGCTGTGTGCTTTTTCTCCCTTGGTTTCTGATTCTCAAGCCACTGGTGTGCAGATTGGTGAGCTGCTGTCCCAAGGGCAGGGGCCATCCTGGGCAGAACCCACCCCTGGCTGGGGTCACCTTGGGGTGCTCACCTCCCCTGGAGCTGGAGCTGGCCAAGCTCTGCAGCCACTGTGGCTGGCAGCTGATCCTCGGGCAGCAGGGGGTTCGGGGTGCACTGGGTGGCCGTGCCTGGGTCACGGAGGGAGGCCAGCAACTGAGACAGCTGCTCCTGAAGCCACGGGCTCTGTCCCACCAGGCCCTGTGAGGAGGGTCCATGACGATGGGGACAGGGACACGGCTCTGCCCTGAGGGACTCCCAAAGACCCCGACCTCACAGGCTGGCTCTGAGCACTCTGGGAGGAGAGGCGCTGCCCACCCAAGGCCTGCAGTGCCCATCCCGCCTGAGGCCCTGGGTTGGTCCCACAGGACCAAAGCAGCTGAGATGGAGGCACTGAGGCAAAGACTGTCCACTGCAGCTCAGCCCTGGCCAGCCCCTCCCGGCCTCCCAGCCTCCGCTGACCCTCCCGGCCTCCCAGCCTCCGCTAGCCCTCCTGCTCTCACCAGGCTTCCACCTGCACCCCAGGTCCCAGGAGCCCAGGTGGGTTTTCTGGAGCACCTGCCTAACCTGCCCCATCCATGCTCCTCTTCTTGCCAGGGGAGCCCCTCTGCCCCTTCCCCTCGTCCTCCTCACTGTGTGGGGTTTGGCTGGCCGGGCTCAGGAGGTCAGGGACACCCATTCACCCATGGCCAGGGAGGAGACAGAGGGGTGGCCTCCAGGCGGCAGTGACCAAGGGGGTCCCGAGAAGCCTCGTCCTCGCCAGGGTGAGCTCTCTCCCACCCTGCAGTGCCTGTGGCAGTGCCAGCCCGGGAGCAGAGGCACCCACAGGCCTGCTGGGCCCTCAGCCCCTGCCAGGAAATCCAAGGCCCAGCACGAGCTCCAAGGTTCTCCCTCCCGGCAAGGTCCCGGAGTCCGTGAGTCCAGGATGGCCTGAGTGTCAGGTGGGAAAGGGGCACCCACCTGGGAGGCTGAGCTCCCACATGACCTCCCACCCACGGCCTCAAGGAGGGTCCGCCTGCCTCGCTGGCTTCAGGCCCAGTAGCCCGAGGCTGCTTCCCCGGCGTGGGTTCCCACGTGGACGACAATACGTGGAAGCCGCCCGCATTCTTCAGGACGTCCGCTGCCCTTCCGGCCGGCTCCGTGCTGGCACTGGGGGGGCCTGGCCTTCCTCCTTCCGGCCTCGCCCAGGCCCCGCACCTCTCCGGGGACTCTCGGCCCCCACCCGGCCACACAGGCAGCTCTGCCGGCCGGTTTGGGTGGCACGGACGCTGCCATCTGCCTGGAACGAGGCCCAGCCGGGCTCCCCCAAGGCCCTCGGCTTCAGAGCAGGCTGCCCAGCCTGGGGACCCCCCACCCGCCTGGCAGGCACACGCCCTAACATAGGGTCTGGGGTCGCCGGCCCCAACGAAGGCCTCAGTCTGCCCGCTTTCTCCCGGAGGCTCCGGGCCTGTGCCCCTCAGACAGCTGCCCAGCACTCTGCAGCCCCATGGGGCAGGGCACGGACTCACTTGCACGTGGTCAGCCCAGTTCTCCTGAGACAGGCTCTTCTGTAAAGGCAAACGGGGAGGGAGGCGGTTTCCAGGCGGCTCCAGAGGCTGAACAGGGGCTTGGTGGGAGCCCTCCTTGCCCCCCGCACAGCTCAGATGCTGGCCCACCACAGTGCCACGGCCCAGAGCCGGGGCCCGTGGCCTCCCTTCCCCCAGGCCTGGCCCAGTTTCCCAGCTCTGGGGCGAGACATGGCCCCTCTCCGTGGTGCATGGTGAGTATCCCAGACCAAAGTCTGTGGCTCAGGCCACAGTCGCAGCCCACCAGCCCCCTCCTGCTCACGAACCTCCATAAACCGCTTGTGGCACAGGTGCTGCAGGGCTGCCAGGCGCTGCTGCGTGGCCGCATGGGGACACAGCGCTGAAAGGGAGGGGCCAGCTCAGCACTGCAGCTCAGGGCAGCCTCCTCCAGGAGCAGGTGGGAGACGGGCAGAGGGGCTAGCATGCCTTTCCACCCTCTTCCACCTCTACCTGGACCCCACCCCCAAACCACTGGGCCCCTGCTGGGGTCCGTCCAACCCAGCCTGGGGGTCCCGCTGGCCCTGGGATCTCCCTTGCACTGTGCCGCGGGTCCAGGCCTGCCTGTCTTTCCTCAGAAGGTTCCCGTCCAGGGCCGGCGCCTGCCTTTGTGCCCTGCCCTGCTGGCACGTGGACCCCTTCTGGACAAGGCCGGCGGGTCATTGTGGGTCCCATGCCTGGAGCAGGCCGCAGAATCAGCAAGGACTGAGGCACACACCCGTCCACACCCTCCATCAGCCTCAGCAGAGTCCACACTGACACACACGCGTCCACACCCTCCATCAGCCTCAGCAGACTCCACACTGACACACGCGCGTCCACACCCTCCATCAGCCTCAGCAGAGTCCACACTGACACACGCGCGTCCACACCCTCCATCAGCCTCAGCAGAGTCCACACTGACACACACACGTCCACACCCTCCATCAGCCTCAGCACACTCCACACTGACACACGCGCGTCCACACCCTCCATCAGCCTCAGCAGAGTCCACACTGACACACACACGTCCACACTCTCCATCACTCACCAGACTCCACTCCAGATCCCGAGGGGCCCCAGGGAGGGCACCGAGGTCCCACTGAGCCCCTTCCCCCCAGGGTCTGGCAGCCAGTAGTCCTAGCGGGTTGCCCGGTCCTCAGCAGGATGCCAACCTGGCAGGGCCCCACATACCCACGCCCAGAGAGCAGCCGTGGGGAGTGGGTAACCATCTGCCCTGAGTCCCCTGCCCGGTTCTGCCCCTACCTCACCCAAGGTCCCTGTGACCCATACTCTGAGTAGGCACTCTGCCAGCACCTGCCTCCAACGCCTGGGAGCACCCTGTGGCAGGGACCCCACCTACCGGCCACAGTGGATGTCTGTGCAGTTCATGGCAAGGCTAGAAGCTGGAGCTTACCAGGGAGGGCCAGCCTTCCTGGAATGCAGCCACCAGGGCACAAGCTTCCAGCAGAGGCCTTGCCCAGGAATCTGCCACCTGCCCCGGGTCCAAGGGGTGACGAGGGCACCCGCCTTCCTCCTTCCTGGAAATGAAGTCTCCACTACCAGTCTCGTGCACTGGGCACCCTAGGGGCCATCACTCCTTTAAAACATGGGGCCCCTCTGGGTAGCCCCTACTCGAAACCTGGCCCATGTTTGGAAGAGAGAAGGGAGAGAGGGAGAAGTTACTCAGAGAGAGCACAGCTGGCAGCCTGGGGGTTGCTGCAGAGGGGTTCCCTCAGCTCTGAGGACAGATGGGAGCAGCTTTCCTGACATTTCCATGCTTTTTGGCATAACTTTGCCAGTGGGCTACTGTGCCCAAAGTACTGGCTACAGTACTGCACTGACGGAAGGGGCCTGGGCTGCAACCTACCCATGCTGAGAACCTAGAAACGCTGCACAATCCAGAAAAACCCAAACTGCCAGACAGGCACCAGCCTGCACCCTCCCAAGACTCACGGCCCCACGGATGGGGCCTCAACGCGTCTTCCCGGCCCCGGCGGGGGTCCTGGGAACAAAGGGGCCTGGCTTCCCTTGGTGTCCAATGACACAGCCAGGTGTGGCCATCAGCCTATCCAGAGGAGCCTGAGAGGAGTGGCCGCAGAGTCCTGATGCCTGAGACTCCATACTCAGCCTCAGCTCTGCAGCCACCAGGAGGCAGGAAGCCCCTGGAGTCACCCTAGGTGGGCAGAGGAGCTCACAGGCCGGTGGGCTGCTCAGCGGTAGGACAGGTCCACCTTGCAGGCACTCTGGCAGGAGCTGGGCAGGAGGCAGGAAGGGGCTCTCTGGGAAGGTTGGTGCCTGAACAATCAGCAGCACAGTCATGAACATGAGCCTGGCCACGCAAGAGTGTGGGGCTGGACTCACCCGGACCACGCCGAACCGTGGCCTCACCCGGGACCACGCTGAACCATGGCCTCACCGGGACCGCTCTGAACCGTGGCCTCACCCAGGACCACGCCAAACCGTGGCCTCACCCGGCCCACTCCGAACCGTGGCCTCACCCGGGACCGTGCCAAACCATGGCCTCACCTGGACCACACTGAACCATGGACTCACCCGGCCTGCTCTGAACCATGGACTAACCCAGGACAACGCCGAATTGTGGACTCATTTGGGACCATGTCAAATCGTGGACTAACCTGGGACAATGCTGAATTGTGGACTCACCTGGGACCACGCCGAATCGTGGACTCACCTGGGACCATGTCAAGTCGTGGACTAACCCGGGACAAAGCTGAATCGTGGACTCACCTGGGATCACACCGAATCGTGGACTCACCTGGGACCATGCCGAACCGCTCCTGCAGACGTAAGACCTGCCTGCTCAGCACCTTCGGACTCAGCTTCTCCAGGCTCAGGGAGGCCACCTGAGGGTACTGTCTGTGGAAAGAGGCACAGCCTCTGCTGCTGTTTCAACACATTTTAAGATTTTTATTTTCATCAAAGTCAATTTCATGAATAAACGCCAAGTGATTCTAAAAGGCTTATAAGAAAAAGCAGGCACAGGCTGGGTGCAGTAGCTCACACCTGTAATCCCAGCACTTTGGAGGCCAAGGCAGGCGGATCATGAGGTCAAGAGTTCAAGACCAGCCTGGCCAATGTTGTGAGACTCCGTTTCTACTAAAAACACAAAAATTAGCTGAGCGTGGTGGTGTGTGCCTGTAGTCCCAGCTACTCGGGAGGCTGAGGCAGGAGAATCACTTGAACCTGGGAGGCGGAGATTGCGGTGAGCCGAGATCGCACCTCTGCACACCAGCCTGGGTGACAGAGAGAGACCCGTCTCAAAAGAAAAAGAAAAAGAAAAAGCAGGTGTCTGCCCCCTGCATTGTTCGTAGCCTGCAGGCCGATGTTGAAACGGTCATGCATTTGCCTCCATGTTTTCAGACAAGGTCCTTGGGTTGTGGCCTCTTGGCATTTGGGATGGATGTCTCCCCCCGGAAGGCGGCCTCCCAAAACGGCAGAATTAGAGTTCTAGCTGAATCAGCACGTTCCTCCTTTGCGATACTCTGGCTGTGCAAGGACATCAGCACCTCAGCCCCCACTGCTGCTTTAGCCCATTAGTTCTGTGTTGGACCTTCTTGACAGAATCTGCCACGTTTAAACATCTTTTCTCTTTGTTTTTCTTCTCTTTATGTATTTGGTACCACTTTTTTGAAGACAACTTCCAATTACTCTTCCATCCTCCCATTGAGCTTTCGTGTCTCATCCTGTCCTTCCTCCACCAGCTCTGTCACAAAGTCTGAAACCTCTTTCTGGGGGGCCCACCCCTCCACATCACAGACACAGCAGCTTCCCAGAGATCCTGGTTGCAGCTTCTGTGCCTGCTTTTAAGTTTTCTTCATCCAGTCTCCAGCTTAATGTGTGTATTAGTCGGGGATCTCTGGAGGGACAGAACTAACAGGATATACACACACACACGAAGGGGAGTTTATTAACTATTAACTCACACGATCACATGTCCCATGGCAGGCCGTCTGTCTGCAGGCTGAGGAGCAGGGAGAGCCAGGCTGAGCCCAGACCTGAAGAACTTGGAGTCTGATGTTCCAGGGCAGGAAGCGTCCAGCCCAGGAGAAAGATGGAGGCTGGGGGGCTGGGCCCGTCTCGCCTTTTCGCATTCTTCTGCCTGCTTTATATTCCAGCCTCGCTGGCAGCTTATGAGACGCTGCCCACCCAGGTTCAGGGTGGGTCTGCCTCCCCCACCACTGACTCAGCTGTGAATCTCTTTTGGCAGTACCCCCACAGACACACCCAGGGTCAGCACCCTGCACCCTTCAATCCAGTCAAGTTGATACACGGTGTTAGCGTGTGTGGCTGGTGAGATGCCCCACGGCCCCGACTGCTCCTGCCCCACACCGCCCTGCAGAGGAGCCACCCTCCCTGTGTGCCTGGCACGGCCCACACCCTTCCTGTTCTGGGGGCATGGCCCACGCCTGACCTGTGCCCGCAGTGTGGCCCAGCGGTCCTGTGCCCGCGGTGTGGCCCAGCAGCCCTGGAAGGCCAGAAGTGCTGTCGGCTGAGAAGCGTCCCTGCACCTCCAGCAAGGGTGTCACCTGTGTCCCTCTGGTTTCAGCACGGAGCCCCAACCCTGTCCTCAGCTGTGGATAGAACCCCGTACCCCTCACAAAGGCCCCCTGGGGACCCTGTTTCCAGTCCAGCTTCTCGGAGGAGTCTGAGCCCCCACTTCCCGTGCCTCCTGAGGCTCTGAAGCTGGCGGGCTTCCTGCCTGTGCAGGTTCCACAGTCCCAGGCTCTGAGGAGAGTCACCACCTGGACATCTGTTTCCCATTTCACACCTTGGTCTCTGGAAAGCTTTTGTCTTCAATTTAAAGCAAAGAGGCACTAGATGTGTGTGTGTATCCACCACTTCCAACTCCAAGTCCTACGTAAAACTTTTTAAAAATTAAATATATGTGTATTTGACACAGCCTCTCACTCCATCCCCCAGGCTGGTGTGCAGTGGTGTGATCCAGGCTCACTGCAGCCTCGACCTCCCGGCCTCAAGTGATCCTCCCACCTCAGCCCCCTGAGTGGTGGGGCTACAGGCACGTGCCACCACGCCTGGCTAATTTTTTGTATTTTTTGTAGAGATGGGTTTTGTCATGTTGCCCAGGCTGGTTTCAAACTCCTGGCCCCAAGCCACCCTCCCACTGTACCTGCCAAGTCCTGCGTTTAAAATAAATTATTTACTGAGTGACACACAGTGAGGTATGCCAATCACAGATGCACAAGCACCTGTGGACGCACTGCCCGAAGCTCAACATGGAACGTTCCAGGGAAGGTGTGGCAGCTCACGCCTGTAATCCCATCACCTGGGGAGGCTGAGGCGGGAGGATCAGTTGAGCCCAGGAGGCTGAGGCTGCAATGAGTTGTAATTGTGCCACTCCAGCCTGGGTAACAGAATGAGACCCTATCTCTAAAGTAAAAGTTAAAGAAAGAACATTCCAGAACCCAAAGTGTCTCTGGTGTCCATCTCTGTGGATCCCCATCCCACACGTCTCCAACTTCTGTGACCAGAGATTCGCCTGATAAAACAGGGGCATTTTGCCACTTGTGGGTCTGGCTTCTTCCAGGCAGGCTTCGTCCACGCTGCTGAGTGTGAGGAGCTGGGTTTGTGGACCGTGACTGCTGCACCCACCCCGCTGCTCTGGGGACTAGGGCTGCTCCAAGGTTTTGGAGATGAGTGAAGCTGCCACAACTGTGGCCCTCTGTGGATAATGAGGCCACTTCTCTTGGGCACACGCTAAGTGGACTTGGGCAACGTAAGTCATAGGGTTGGCATACTGTTTTGCTTTAGCAGAAATGGTTAAATGGTTTTCTGAAGTGTCTGCACCACTGCACATCCCACCAGCAGTGTGTGAGTGTTCTGGTTTCCCCAGGTCCTTGCCAACACTTGGTATGTTCGACTTTTAAATTTTTGCCTTTCTGATCGGAGGTAGCGGTATTTCTTTGTGGCTCAATTTGCATTTCCCTGATATTACTGCTGCTTAGAAACTTTTCCTACATTTACTGGCTAACTGGAATCCTCTTCTGTGAAGTGCTTATTCCAATCTTTTGCTCATTTAAAAAATTGGTTTGTTTCTTTGTTTTCTTTGTAGGTTTTTTGTTTGAAATATTCTGGATACGGTCTTTTGTAAGATATGTACTGTAAATAATCTCTTGGTCTGGAAGTTGGCTTATCACTCTCTCAATGATGTCCTTTGATGTCCAGAAGTTATTAAGTCAAATTTGTCAGTGTCTTATGTTATCCTTTTTTTGAGATGGGGTCTTGCTCTGTTGCCCAGGCTGGAGTGCAGTGGCGCGATCTCGGTTCACTGCAACCTCCGCCTTCTGGATTCAAGTGATTCTCCTGCCTCAGCCTCCCAAGTTGCTGGGACCACAGGCACATGCCAACACACCTGGCTAATTTTTGTATTTTTAGTAGAGACACAGTTTCACCATGTTGGCCAGGCTGGTCTCGAACTTCTGACCTCAAGTGATCCACCTGCCTCAAGCGCCTAAGGTGCTGGGATTACAGGTGTGAGCCACTGCACCCAGTGTTTATTCTTAGTGATTTTGTATCTTAATTGAGAAAGCTTCATTACAAGTATAAAGAAATACAATTGGCTTTTATAAACTTACTTTGTAACCAGTGATCTTGCTAAATTTCCTTATTTTTAAATAATTTATCTGTAGATTTTTTGGTTTTTCTTCCCTATGTAGACAAACATATCTTCTGAAAATACGACAGTTGTGTCTTTGTACCCAGTCTTTACGCCTTGAACTTACTCCGCCTCCCGCCCTGGTGTGGGTCCTTGATACAGTATTGAACGGAAATGGTGCTCTTGGACATTAGGCAGCCGGAGGCTCAGGGCAGGGACGCCCAAGCGATGGGAAGGGAGGCTGCCAATCACCCCGTCTTCCTTTTTGGAGAAACTTTCCCAGGAGACATCCGGGTGCCACCCTGAATTTGCAGGGAGGAGATGCCCAGAGAAAGAGTATGGAGCTCTGCAGGGAGCACCCTCTAGAATTTGCCCCAGAAAAGAGCACCCTGCATGTGAGGACCTCCCACAAAGCGGAGGAGGAGCCACCTGATCCGATTACAGGGAAAAGTTTTCAAGCCTGACAAAGAGCTGCTCCCAAGGCCCAGGGTTTAAAACGCTTCCTAGTTGGTAGGGCATTACCTACAGCACTAAGGGGGTTCTTGCCTCAGAAATGGGGGGAAGCTGGCCTTAGATTAAACATTGCTCTGATCATACCAAATGAAGTTTAAAGAAAGATCCGAAAAAATTACACTGTTTCCAGGTAACTTAAACATACACAAGAACAATGATCAATAATATTTTTAGAGGCCGGGTGCTGTGGCTCACACCTGTAATCCCAGCACTTTGGGAGGCCGAGGTGGGCCAGATCACTTGAGGTCAGGAGTTCGAGACCAGACTGGGCAACATGGTGAAACCTTGTCTCTCTCTACTAAAAACCCTGTCTCTACTAAAAATTCTAAACAAAAATTAGCCAGGCGTGGTGGCTGGCACCTATAATCCCAGCTACTCAGGAGGCTGAGGCAGGAGCATCACTTGAACCCAGGAGGTGGAGGGTGCGGTGAGCCAAGGTCACGCTGCTACACTCCAGCCTGGACCACAGAGTGAGACTGTCTCAGAAAAAAAATAATAAAAAAAGAATATTTTTAGAAAACCAAAAACGTCACACACCCTGAAGGTAAAATTCAAAATATCTGTAATCCAATAAAAAATTACCAGCCTGCAGAAAAGAGGAAATACGAGGCACACTGTGATCAGCAGAAACCGACCTGGAGACGACATGTCAGAGAATTACCGCCTGACGACGAGACACAGACCCCGCGCTGGGCGGGAGGGCGCTGACGGCACCACAGATGCCGCAGACCACGCAAAGAGGACGGCGGAGTATCACCAACAACCTTCAGCCACGAAGTTCGACAACTTGGATAAAACGGACAAATTCCTTGAAAGGCATGAACAGTCAAAGCTCATTCAAAAAGACACAGGCAACCCAAACAGCCCTTTTTTAAAGGAAATGGATTTTCAGTGAGAAGTAATACCAACTGGCCGGGCGCAGTGGCTGGTGCCTGTAATCCCAGCACTTTGGGAGGCCAAGGCAGGTGGATCACCTGAGGCCAACAGTTCAAGACCAGCCTGGCCAAGATGCTGAAATCCCGTCTCCACTAAAAATACAAAAATTAACCAGGCATGGTGGTGGGTGCCTATAATCTCAGCTACTCAGGTGGCTGAGGCAGGGAACTGCTCGGACCCGGGAGGCAGAGGCTGCAGTGAGCCGAGATCGCGCCAGCCTGGGCAACAAAGTGATACTTCATCTAAAAAAAAAAAAAAAAAAAAAAACAACTACACACAGTTTTTCCAGAAGACTGAAAGGCAAGGGAATAATTCCAAACTCATTCTGTAAGGCAAGCATGTTTCTGATACCAAAGTAACATATATTACAAGAAAAGGCAATGAGAGACCAATATTTCTCCTGGAGACAGCTGCAAACATTCCTAACAAAATGTAGGCAAATTTCTGCCACTACCGAAACCACCTGGGTTCCCCAAAGATAACACATAATGACCAAGTGGGGTCTATCCCAAAAACGCAAGGCTGGTTTACCACGGACACACTAAAGGGTGTAATGCATCATAGTAACTGATTAGAAAAGAAAAACCATGTGTTCATCTCAACAGAAAAGCTAGTCTTATAAATTCAGCATACATTCCTGATAAAAATTCTAAACAAGCCAAGCATAGAAAGAAGCTTCCTCATCTCTGCTTGTGCTGTGATGGAGTCTCACTCCATCCCTGCAGTGCGGTGGTACCATCCCAGCTTACTGCAGCCTCCACCTCCCGGGCTCAAGGGGTCCGCCCCGAATGGCCTCCCAAGGTGTTGGGATTCCAGGCATGAGCCACTATGCCCAGCCCCTTCGTTCATCTTAAGTTGGGAAGTTTGTGTTCTTTCTGCTGAGTTGAGAGGGATCTCTGTAGATTCTGGATGACAGTTCTTTATCCCACGTAGCTTTTGGAGACATTTTCTCCCAATCTGTCTGTGTCTTCTCTCTCTTTTTTTTTTTTTTTTTTCTTGAGAGAGAGTTTTGCTCTTGTTGCCCAGACCGGAGTGCAATGGTATATTCTGGGCTCACTGCAACCTCTGCCTCCCAGGTTCAAGTGATCTCCTGCCTCAGCCTCCCGAGTAGCTGGGATGACAGGTGCCCGCCACCATGCAAATTTTTGTATTTTTGGTAGAGATGGGGTGTCACCATGTTGGCCAGGCTGGTTTCCAATGCCCGACCTCAGGTGCTCTGCCCGCCTAGGCCTCCCAAAGTGCTGGGATTACAGGCGTGAGTCACTGTGCCCAGCCTTCTCATTCTCTTAATTCTTTAATACGTTAGTTGACTTGATTGCTAGTACTTTGTTTTGTATTTTTGCATTTATCCTCCTGAAATATGTTGGACTTCAGTTTTCCTTCCTCCTAACGTTGTTTTTGAGTTTTGACCTCCGAGTTTAAGCTGAACAAAGTGCGTTGGGCTGCACTCCTTTTTAAAAAATTTTCTGTTCTCTAGAAAAGGTCATGACTGGTTTTGTCTTCCCTCCCCCCTCCCCCACCTCTCTTTCTTTTCTCTCTTTCTTTTACCCCTTACCTCCTTCCCCTCTTCCCCCTTCCCTCTTCCTCTCTCTCTTCCTTTGATGAAGTCTTTCTCTGTTGTGAGGCTGAAGTGCAATGGTGCGATCTCAGCTCACCGAAACCTCCACCACCTGGGATCAAGGGATTCTCCTGCCTCAGCCTCCTGAGGAGCTGGGACCACAGGTGCATGCCACTCTGCCTGGCTGTTTCGTATTTTACTAGAGATGGAGTTTCACCATGTTGGTCAGGGTGGTCTCGATCTGCTGACCTTGTGATCTGCCTGCTTCTGCCTCCCAAAGTGCTGGGATTATATGTGTGACCCACCACGCCTGGCATTTTTTTTTTTTTTTTTAGATGGAGTCTTACTCTGTCGCACAGGCTGGAGTGCAGTGGAGTGATCTCGGCTCACTGCAACCTCTGCCTCCTGGTTCAAGGGGATTACAGGCGCACACCACCACACCTGGCTAATTTTTGTATTTTTAGTAGAGATGGGGTTTCACCATGTCGGTCAGACTGGTCTCGAACTCCTGACCCCAGGTGATCTGCCCACCTCAGCCTCCCAAAGTGCTGGGGGAGCAAGCCACTGCACCCAACCATGAAGCACTTTCTTTCTTAAATGTTTGAAAAATTCACTGCTGACACCATCTGGGTTCTAACAAACTTTTCTCTGTAATAAAGCTTTAGACTATGGATTTAACTTACTTAATAGCTCTATAGGACTATTTAAATGTTCTATTTCTGCTAGTGTCAGTTTTGGTGAATTGCATTTTTCAAAAATTTGGTCTATTATATCTAAATGGTCAAGTACATTTGCATTAAGTTGCAAACAACATCCCCTTGCTACCCTGCCAACGTCTGCAGGGTCTGTAGTAAGGCCCCTTTCATTCCTGATGTGGGTCACTCAAATTTTATCCCTTTCTTTCTTAGCGTCCCTTGATGGTCCAAGCCTGAATCAGTGACTTTATTGAGAGCTGCAAAATGGTGATTTTTAATTGTATCATTCCTTTTTCATCTATTAGCTGGAACTCATTATAAAGAAGAGTTTTCCCCTCTCTTCCCTTGGCCATGACTGTGGACTCACGGGCCTTCAATGGTTAAGGTGTTAGACTCTACTGCCACTGTCATTTCCACGCTCAGTCCATTCTCCCAAAGCCCTTGCTTCTTTCGGTGGAGAATGGCATCTGGTGACTGAGCTGGCAGCCAGGTGTGCTCATTGCTATGGGGTGCCATTGCATCCAGGCCCTTTCAGAGCACGGAGCTAGGACAAATTTTAAAAACCATTCTTTTAAACCAATACCTGCAATGAAACCTAACACTGCAGGGTCTTCCTCACCCTCCCAGTTTCCGTGTATATTTCTTTTCGTTGTTTTTTGAGGCAGAGTTTCACTCTTGTTGCCTGGGCTGGAGTACAATGGTGCAATCTCAGCTCACTGCAGAGCCTCCCTGATTCAAGAGATTCTCCTGCCTCAGCCTCCCAAGTAGCTGGGGTTACAGGCACGTGCCACCAAGCCTGGCTAATTTTTGTATTTTTAGTAGAAACGGGGTTTTTCCACGTTGGCCAGGCTGGTCTTGAACTACCAACCTCAGGCGATCCACCTGCCTTGGCCTCCCAAAGTGCTGGGATTACCAGTGTGAGCTACCGCGCCTGGCCGTGTGTTTCTCTTCACAATGAGACCCCTGGTTCCTGCCTCCATCAATGCATTCACTGTTTTGCTCTATGTCTTTAAAAAAATATAATAGGATCGATGGCAACTGACCTTACGCTCCCCTGTGCCTGGCCTGGTGCTGCGTGTACCCTGCCTCTTCCCTATGATGAAAAGTCTTAGCGATGCTTTGAGTCAGGTGGACTCAGCCCCACTGTGCGAATGAAGAAACAAACTCGGAAAGTGGAAGCGACTTGCTCTTTGAACTGAGGGAGGAGAAGTGGAGGAGGATGGGTCCAGGGAGGCCTGATCCAAGTTCAGGCCCCTGGCTCTCCAGTGAGGTGACCCTGGGGCTGTGTGGGGGACAGAGGCTGGAGTCCGCCTGGGCCCAGGCACCTTCCAAAAGCTTTTATAGATGAAAGAACAAACGAATGAATGGGCAGGTAAGCAGTATGGACGCCGAGCCTGTGTACAAAGAGCCACCACAGAGAATTGTTTCTGTCTTTCTAAGAACAGGTGACTCTTTCGCCTGGGAGACAGCAGTGCTCCTGCCAGCTCCAGAGGCAGCTGCACGGCTGCAGTCACATGGCAGCTGTGTCCCAAACATCAGAACCGCCTGGGAGAGCTCTCCCACGTGCCTGCTGCCATGCTCCCCTGTAACCAGGGTGCCATCTGGTGCCAGCTGCCAGCATCCATGGGACTCACCTGGCAACATCCTTGATGTCAAAGCCGGGCTGGCACCAGGAGTCCATGAGGGCCAGCAGCCTCCTCTGGAGGTCCGGGAAGCCGGCTACGTAGCGCTCCACGAGGGCCACCTTGTCCTGGAGGAGCAGTGGGACACTCATCTGCGGGGGGTGGGGGGGTGGGGTGCACGGTCAGGCCACAGTCTCTGCCATCTCGGCCAAAACCCCACACTCCCCTCCCACCAACCTAGAGTTAGTGGCCACAGTGTCAGAACTAAAGAGGCCCGGCCTGCGCCCGTGCTCACACACACCTGCCCCAGGCTTCTGGTAGGTTCTATGGCCACCCCCATCTCCATCAAGGCCTGGAGGTCTTAAGAGGCAACGGGGACCCTGGGAGGCTCGCTCGTCACCAAACGTGGGGAGATGGGAGACAAACCAAGCAGGTGACACCAGCACTGCCCCTGAGTGGCCCTCACGCCCCACATGCTGTCGGTGCCTCCAGGAGGCCCCGGGGGTGGGGGGCTCCCTGGCTGTGGTGCTGGGCCTTGGGATACACCAGCCATTCCCTCAGCAAGAACCAGGCCCCTTAGACAAAGCCCTTCAAAGAAGGCTCCTCACCTCCCTTCCCCATCTCCTCGACACAGGTGAGACTGCCTGGAACCAGACTGCATGGGGCCCACCTACAGGACAGTACCCTCAGGGACAGGTCTTGGGCAGAAGGCAAAGCCCAAGAACCCTCTCCGGCCCCAGCTCCTGCACACCTGGAGTCTGCACCCATCCCGGGAGCAGGGCCGAGGCCTTTGTGGTGAGGATACCCCCTGTCCCCACCTGGCCCTGCCCCAGTTCCACCTGTGTCCCTGTGGTGGGGACAGTCCCAGTGTGGAAGCTTGTCTGGAAATTCCATCAGACAGGTGACTGCTCCCCCAGCCCCCTGCACAGCGGAGAGGAGGAGCTGAAGAGGGTCCCAGAAGCACGAGGGCTGCATGTCCTGAGAGGCACCTGGTGCCCACTCCAGGGAAGGGGTGGCCTGGCAGCTGCATGGAGCACTCAGGGCTTCCGAGGACCGCTGGGCACAGGGTGCCTGGCTGTGTGGCTGTGCCTGGCTGGGGTCAGCCCACCAGGAGGACTGGTCTGGGGGCTCCCGATGGCTCTGCTTTCCCCTCCCTGTGGCTTGCTGGCCCCACCTCCACCAACACTGTTCCTGGAGACCTGGGCATTATCCAAGTTTGAACCTAAACGATTTACATGAGAAAGACGTTCACCTTTTCAACATCAAGTTCTGGCTGAAGCTTCAACGTCGTGCCCAGCATGACTGCCTGGCAAACACAAAGGCACAGATTACTCAGGGCCTGGGAGGGGCCCCCACCCTTCTGCACGGTGCCTGGTCACTGCGGCGCACTGTGGGGCCTCCCCGTGTCCACCCACGTGGCCCTCAGGGTGAGGGGCCTGGCCTGGCAGACAAGCCCCCTGTGCTGAGCCCCGCTGAGCCCGGCCTCACATGGGCTGGAACAGACGGGAGGCCCAGGCTTGGCCTAAATGGGGCAGCAGGGATTCATGCGGTGCTGGCCACGCAGCCTGGTCCACAGGGCCTTGCTCAGGGCTTGCTGATGAGCCCGCGGGGGGCAAGGAAGTGGGCTCAGGGAAAGGGGCAAAGCCGTGGCCTCCCACGTGACCCACATACGGGGCCCAGTCCTGGCGCCTGCAGCAGAGGGGCCAGGGCTGAGGACCTCAGGGCAGGGTCTCAGCATACCCTGACGCCGGGGGGGTCCTAGCTGTTCCCACGAGGCGGGAGACGGGCACCCCGCAAGCGCTCCCAGGCCACGCCGCTGCGATCGGGCACGGAGGGCCCTGACCGCCCGCACGTACCGCGGGCCTGAGCTGCTATTAATAATTTCCATAAGACGCGCTCCCATAACCAGCAAAAATGACCCGCGAGAGCAGCCCGCGGAGCATGGCGCCCCGCCCCCGCGCGGCCCAGAGAAAGGACCAAAATAGCGGCCTGGGAAAGCCTGGGCTCCGGCTTCCAGCCCCCGTGCGCGGGGTGGGGGCGCAGGTCCGGGGGCCTCTCCCTGCGCAGCGCTGACCCGGCGCCTCCACTGCCTGGCCGGGGTCCAAGAGGCTAGGCCTCCACCGGGCCGCAGGGCGCAGGGCCGGGGCTGGGGTCTCAGGGCCAGGGGGAGGGGGCGCAGGGCCGGGGATCTCAGGGCCGGGGCGGGGCCACAGGGCTGCGGGGAGGAGCGCGGGGGCCTGGGGCGGGGTCTCAGGGCCGAGGGGTGGGACTGAGGGGCTGTGTGGAGGGGCGCCGGGCCCGGGAGGTGGGCATAGGGCTGGGCGCAGGGGCCACCACGCGGGGACCACCCCAGCAGTGACACCCACAGCTTCACACAAGGGCCCTGACCCCTTCTGGATCAGGGATACCCTTGAGAAGCTTCCAGAGCTCAGGAAGGCGGGAGTGCAGGCCTGGTCACCTCACCGTGTTCAGAACCATGGGGTGGTCACGACCCCCCCACCCTCTGCCCCTCCCACCCCATGTGGGCACTGCCAGGTGCAGGGGGGTGGAGGATGGGGTTGCCCCCATCACGTCCTGAGGACCAGGCCCTCAGCAGGGGGGGGGGCCTGGGGCCCAGCCAGGGCACGTGGCCAGGGTGTCCCCTCACTGCTGCTGCACCCAGCCTCCCTCTGAGGACACACTTCAGGCTCCAGGCCCTAGCCCTCGGCAGGTCCCCCCCAAACATGACCTTTCTGAGCCCTAGAAGGCCTCAGGTTTGGGGAGGAACCTGGGCGGAGCTGGGTACAGCAGTGCTCCCCCGGTGGGCAGCTCGGCCTCCCTGTCCCGCAGGCTGCAACCCTGTCAGAGGGGGGTCAAGGTACGTAGCGGAACCCTTCTCTTCTCCACAGCCATTCAGAGCCCAGGGCAATCAGGTGTCTGGACCTTTCTGCTGGGCACCTGGGGCCTCTTGTGGGCAGGGGGGCTTTCTGGACATGCAGGGGTCCTGGGGCCCCAGCCCCTGTGTCCACGTTTTGTACCTGGATCCTGGTGGGGGCTCGGGGCCTAGCAGCTCAGGGGACAGGACAAGGATGGCGCTCCCTCAGCTCCATCATGACACGGGCAGTGCCTGGCTTCCATGGGTGGCCTTGGTGATGGGGATTGGGGACTGGGGGGTGGCAGGTAGCAGACCCACCCTTCCAGGAAGCTCCCTGGCCTGGCCCCCGTCTCAGGCTCTGGGGCTCCTGCATGGCCCTTTCACTGGGATCGTGCCTGGCTTAGAATCAGCGTCTGGCCATTTCTGTCTAAACCTCCCTGGGAGAATGGTGTGCAGCTGCCCACTGCTCATGCCTGGCCACTTGGGAAACTCAGCAGGCACGAAAAGGTCACCTGGCCCCACAGCCAGGCCCAGGGAGCAGGCCGCAGAAGGTGAAGAGTCAGGGACCTCAGGGGAGGAATGAGCTGGGGGCTGGGCCATGAGGACATATGGGCACACTGGGCCCACCCTGCACCAGGCGGCACTTCCTGACCTCGGCTGCCCGGAGGACGGGAGGCACCCACTAGCAAGAGAGGGACGAGGCCGTCCAGCTGGGGGGGTGGGTGGGGCTGCAGGAACCTCTGGCCACACAGGCCCAGGAGCCACGGCTTTCAGGGGAAAAAAAAAAAGAACAAGAAAATCCGGAGGGGCTGCGGTGCTGACCATTAGGAAGGGCATTCCTGGCTCCCCTGGGCCCCCACTCGGAGGGGCAGGAGGGCTGGCAGGTGCCAGGCTTAGTGGCCAAGGAACCCAGTGACGGCCCTGCCTCCCACCTCTGCGTGGGCCTGGAGCCAAGACGGCCTTTTTTTTTTTTTTTAAAGCAAAGCTATCTTTTTACCTTGATAAGCTGTTTAAAAAATGTAAATAAAATAACTCAGCGGACAAAAGCAGGCATTCATCCCGCCCAGAGCCAGCCGCTGCCCTCGACATGAAATATCGCAGCACATTGAGTGGTGAGTCCCGGCTAATCCGAGCGGACAGGCCTGAATGCGGCCCCTTTCGGCCGGGCGCGGCGGTGGGCAGTGGAGCATGTATCGCCTGCCGGGCGGCCCCGCTTGGGACAATGGCTTTCTTCGCAGAAGGGGCCTGTGCGGGACAAGACCCCCTTTGTGTGGGGATTCCTGCCTCGGAGCGTGAGGGAGGCGCATTCAGCCGGCCCCAGACAGTCTTTGAAAGGCTCTGTAACAGAAGACGGCCGGAACACCAGCCTGCCTCTGCCTCCTGCGCTCGCAGGCCCGGCCGCCATTCAGCCTGGGCAGGACGCCTCGCGCCACAGGAGCGGACCCTCCGCCCGGCCATCGCCACGCACCGGCCGTGAGGGGCCGCGACAGTGTGGGGCCGGGGTGGGTGCAGCCGATGCTCATTCTTCCGAGGGCGCAGCCAGGCGGCCCTCATGCCTGCACCCAGGTTCCAATGTGGCTCCTCATGGCCAGGGGCTCTTGCTGGAAAGAGGAACCCAGGGTGCCATCGGACAGCCTCCGCCCCCATGCAGGGCCCCGCATCTCAGCAGCACGTCCCTGAAGTAAGGGCCCTGACAAGACAGGGGGCGCACTGATGCCCCCAAATGCCGGCTCCTTATTGTACGTGATCAGTGTACCCTGAACCAAGCACCCCTGGACTGAGAAATCCCTGGACAGGTCACCCCCAGGCAGGGCACCCCCAGGCAGGACACCCCCAGGCTGAGTACCCCCAGGCTGACCACCTCCGGGCAGGGCACCCCCAGGAAGGACACCGCCAGGCAGGGTACCCCCGGGAAGGACACTCTCAGGCTGAGCACCCTCAGGAAGGACACCAGCAGGCAGGGCATCCCCAGACAGGCACCCCCAGGCAGGCACCCCCAGAAAGGACACCCCAGGCAGGACATCCTCAGGAAGGGCACTCCCAGGCAGGGCACCCCCAGGCTGAGCACCCCCAGGCAGGGCACCCCCAGGAAGGACACCCCCAGGCAGGGCACCCCCAGGCTGAGCACCCCCAGGCAGGGCACCCCCAGGAAGGACACCCCCAGGAAGGACACCCCCGGGCAGGGCACCCCCAGGCTGAGCACCCCCAGGCTGAGCACCCCCAGGCAGGACACCCCCAGGAAGGACACTGCCGGCCTTCTTTGCTGCACCTCCTGCTGCACCCTGGAATGTCCGATGGGATCTCAGGGCACTGAGAATTCCCAGGGGCCCCGTGTAGCTGCAGGAACAGCTCAGAGCCACCCATGCAAGATGGCCACCTCCCTACTCACTGCAGGCCCCACCACTCCCCACTGCTCCCCACAAACCCAAGTCCCAGCTTGGCCAGGCTTGGGGGGCCGTGGCTGTGACGCCAGGGCCCGGTCTTCCTCTTGGAATCTTCTGGGCTTAAGAGTCAGCACTGCTCACAACGGAGGCTCAGCAAACCTCCAGGATCCCTAACACTCCACCAGTTCTTATCCAGACACCTGCAGCTCCAAACGTGCACTTCTGCGACACAGCTAAGACCTGGCCCCCAACCAAAGGGAGAAAGCCGCCTCTCCCACCAGCAGCTGACAAGGGGCTAGACGCTGAGCAGGCACGTTTCACACCTGGTTGACTGTGCCGGGCATGACTGATGCCCTGGCCCCCAGCCTCGTCCTGTGTCCCGGGCACAGGCCCACTCCACACTGTGCCTGGTGAGCGGGCCCCACCTGGGGTGCCGTGGGCGGCAGGGCTGGCACCAGCTGCTCCCACAGCCCCTCTGCTCAGCCCCTCCCGGGACTGTTTTTTTCCAGGGAACACAGACAGCACCCAACGCCCAGGAGGCTCGGCAGATGAACAAACACCCACAAAAGGCAGCCGCCTGCGTGGTTCTGTGTAGGATTCTCGAGTGCAGAAACTCACGGGCATCGTGGGCATGGGTGGACCGAAGTTCAGGGCCAGGCCCACCTAGGACCCTGTGAGTTTGAGGGCCCGATGGGAGCCACGCGTCACCTTTGGGAGGAAAGGGCTCATGGGTGCCGGGAGTCGGCCGGGGAGACCAGGCCTGGGACTGGCCGTGCTCTGACATTCCTGTCGGCTCAGGCAGCGGGAGGGCTCCTGGGACCCTGCACCCCACGCGCAGCTGATGGGCTTCCCACTGCCAGGTCCTTGATTCTTCCATGCAGACCAGAAGCCCCACACAGCCCCCATCACGCAGGCGGCCCTGAGCCAGGCACACCCCTGCTCCGCCGCCCAAGAAGCCCTTTCCCCGTGGGCCCAGCCATGTGGGCCACTCACTTCTCTGAACCTGCCCTCGTGGTAGAGGCGGTGGACATGCTCCAGCAGGCAGCTGCGGTCCGCATCCTGTAGCTGGAAGATGCTGGCCAGTGGCGCTGCAAGGCTGAGGGGGCTCTCGGTGAGGACCCTGACCGCTCGGGCCTGCAGCTGTTCCAGCCTCGGGCTGTGCTGGAAGAGCCGGGACCCGGGCTTACTGGATGCAGCACCCAGGGGCCAAGCCATGGGGCTGGCTGGGGCAGGCCTGGCCCAGGAGGCAGCATCTGTTACTGTGGCCGCGTGTGGGCCTCGGGCGGCCTGCCGGGCTGAGGCCTGGGAGGGGTGAGGCTGGTCTCAGCACATGGCTGTCAGGGGGCTGAGGGTGAAGCCCACGGGAGGAGCCTTGACCACAGCCCCCAGCACCCCCCTGCCCTTCCCGGCTCTTCCCCCTGCCCTTCCTCAGCTTGCTCAGTGGGCTGCAGAGGCCTGGGCAGGTGAGTGCCAGGTCCACTGTGCTGAAGGGTCACAGAGCCCAGGGGCGCACCTGGGCTGGGCCCGGGTGTGGCTGTGCCCGCAGCCAGCACTGCAGCTGGTGGGAGATCCAGGCCTCCAGGGAGGGGCCCTCTCTGCGCCGGCCCCGGCTGCTCTCCAGCATGTCCAGAAGCCCAGCCAGGGGGTCGTCCAGGGCAGCAAACCCCCGCCAGGCTTCCTCCCGGAGCTGTGGAGACACAAAACCACATTGTCACTTCGTCTTGCACTCAAAGCCTCCCAGCAAGGCCTCCCCACTGCACAGAGGTCTTAAAATTTTAATCCATTCAGAAGGTAACTGTGGCCATTCGGCCGCCATCCGCGCCTCTGTGACTTTTCATGCTGCCGGGATTCCGTTCTGGTCCGCTGCCTCCCAGGCCACCAGGGGCGGCGGTCATTGTCCGCACTAATCATCCCATAAAGATGGAGGGCCTGTTCTCCAGGCAGGCAGAGTGCTGGCCCACGAGGCGACCACAGCCCGAGCAACCACAGGTCCACAAGTCACTTCACCCGCGGCGTTGGCGGGACACGGGCCAGGCCTGCCCTCAGCAGGCGAAAGAAACCGAGAGGCAAGAACCAAAACCCACACTGAAAAATGTCTTTTTCCACTTTTCTATCCCTGACCTGCAGGAGATTCAGAAATGGGTAAGAGGTGGAAGAAGAGAAGCAAAGCGTGGTTTTGGTCTCTGGTTTCCGGAAGATTCTAAAGCAAGTTGGCCCTCGCTGCTGCGTGGCAGCCTCGGCGGCGCAGTCTTCTGGGGACACCTGCGAGTGAGTCAGCTGCGATTCACTTCAAGCCACAGCCACTATAACAGACAGTTCCGTGGGTGGAATCGTAGGCGCTAAAGGGCTGGACGGGTTCGCAGCTCAGCACTGGGAACAGGGTGCAGCAGGCGACAGCCTCGCAGGTGGGCAAGAGGGTGAGTTCCCAGCTGCCAGCACTGGCCACAGGATGCCCCTAGAGCTGGGGCAGGCTGCAGACTGGGAGTGTGGGCCGCACTGCTCTGGCCCTGGTGATGGGGATGGTGCCCTCCACTGAGCTCCAGGAGCCACAACCCCAGGCTGTGACACAGCTTTGAATGCACCAGGAGCCACATCCCGAGGCTGCGATGCAGCTTTGAATGCACCGGGAGCCACAACCCCAGGCTGCAGCCAGCTTTGAATGCACCAGGAGCCACATCCCGAGGCTGCAGCCAGCTTTGAATGCACCGGGAGCCACATCCCGAGGCTGCCATGCAGCTTTGAATGCACCGGGAGCTACATCCCGAGGCTGCGATGCAGCTTTGAATGCACCAGGAGCCACAACCCCAGGCTGCAGCCAGCTTTGAATGCACCAGGAGCCACATCCCGAGGCTGCGATGCAGCTTTGAATGCACCGGAAGCCACAACCCCAGGCTGCAGCCAGCTTTGAATGCACCGGGAGCCACATCCCGAGGCTGCAGCCAGCTTTGAATGCACTGTGCTCCGGGCTCCTGGCAAGCTTACTGAAACAAAAGGCAGATTCTGGAACCTGGCACTGGACAGCTCTCCCCACAAACACCTGGAACAGCTGCAGCGCACACGCAGGTGGGTGCATCAGATCTCAGAACTGTCTTGGAGGGTGTGACAGCTGCAGGGGTAGGAGGCAAGGCTGGAAAGTCGAGACACTCCAAAGGAGACCCCTTGGGGAGAGCGTGGGCAGAGAGAAAGGCAGCTGGTCTGACCAACAGGACTCGGGGAAGGAAAGGAAAGCCGCCCTTAAACAAAACTTGTAAATCTCATGCATGTGGAACTTGAAGGTGCTCCAAGAAGTTAGATCTAGCCCTAGTGAGTTCTAGCCCTGGTGAGTTCTAGCTCTGGTGAGTTCCGGCCCTGGTGAGTTCTGGCCCTGGTGAGTTCTGGCCGTAGTGAGTTCTAGCCGTACTGAGTTCTGGCCCTGGTGAGTTCTAGCCGTAGTGAGTTAGTGCTAGCTCTGGTGAGTTCTGGCCCTGGTGAGTTCCAGCCGTAGTGAGTTCCGGCCCTGCTGAGTTCCAGCCCTGCTGAGTTCCGGCCCTGGTGGGTTCCAGCTCTGGTGAGTTCTCGCCCTGGTGGGTTCCAGCTCTGGTGAGTTCTGGCCCTGGTGAGTTCTCGCCCTGGTGAGTTCTAGCCATAGTGAGTTCTAGCCCTGCTGAGTTCCAGCCCTGGTGACTTCCGGCCCTGGTGAGTTCCAGCCCTGCTGAGTTCCGGCCCTGGTGGGTTCCAGCTCTGGTGAGTTCTCGCCCTGGTGGGTTCCAGCCCTGGTGAGTTCTGGCCCTGGTGAGTTCTAGCCCTGGTGGGTTCCAGCTCTGGTGAGTTCTGGCCCTGGCGAGTTCTGGCCCTGGTGAGTTCTAGCTCTAACTAGTTGGCAGAAACGAAACAATAATTCTTTAACCACTTTGCCAGGATGTGCAGGCCCTAGGTCACCAGAGGGAAAAAGTTTCACTGAATGAGGTCAATGAAAACTTACAAAACACACAGGGAAGCAAGCCACCATGAGTGACAACCCCAAGTAAGTTGGTGAAAGCTCTGAGAACGTGGGGTAATCGGACATGGATTTGGGAATGTGTAACCAGCTATCCCCGTTTTCCTAAGAGACAGTTGCTTCTGTTCATGTGTTACTCAGCCACAGAAAAGGAGGAATTGGACACAGGCTTCCACGTGGGCAAGCCTTGATGTCATGCTTAGTGAAGAGCAAGTCACAAAAGACCCCATGTTACGTGACCACGTGTGTGAACTGTCCAGAAGTGGCAAATCCAAAGGCAGAAAGCGAATGAGGGTGGCCGAGTCCAGGCTGAGGGGAACGGGGCATCTGTGTGAGGGGTATGGGGTTTTCGTTTGAAGCAATGAAACTTTCTGAAACCAGAAGGGGTGCACATTGTTCTGAAGATGCTGTAAAGATTCACAAAGCACCACACTGTGGACGTGCTTGATGCTACTGAATTGCTCGTTTCAAAATAACTAGGCTTACATTTTGTGCATCTAACCCCGATAAAAAATTAAATTAGGCCGAGCACGGTGGCTCACGCCTGTAATCCCAGCACTTTGGGAGGCCGAGGTGGGTGGATCATGAGGTCAGGAAATCGAGACCATCCTGGCTAACACGGTGAAACCCCGTCTCTAACAAAAATACATAAATTAGCCGGGTGTGGTGGCGCGTGCCTGTAGTCCCAGCTTCTCGGGAGGCTGAGGCAGGAGAATCGCTTGAACCCGGGGGCGGCGGTTACAGTGAGCTGGGATTGCGCCACTGCACTCCAGCCTGGGCAACAGAGCAAGACCCTGTCTCACCAAAAAAAAAAAAAAAAAAAAAAAAAAAAAAAAGGACAGGGCCACCCCACCACTGAGTGCTAAGCAGTGGGTTGGGAAGGGCCAGTGAGCCAGGGGAGCCCCACTCTGGGACTGCGTCTACTCCAGGCCCTCCCCCGCACCAGCCCCGCCTCCTCCTGCCCCTGTCCGGCCACGGGTGCTTGCTACCTCTGCTGTCATTTTAGAGGAACACCCAACAGCCCTCCCACAACCCCCGTCCCATTTCCCCCTTTTATACTGCAAAGCACCTTCAGAGTTCTCCAAAACCCTAATCTCATCTCCCTCCTCTAGGGGCCCCAGGTGTCTGAGCCACCATATGGGGTCCCCAGGATCTCCATGTGCAGCCGGCTCTAGGGTCAGGCTTCTCCTGAGCACCTGGGACCCCCAGGGACCCCATCTTCAAGGCTTCTGGCCCACCCAGGGCCACTGGCCACGCAGCCTTCACCAACTTGCTGGAGGAACTTGGGCGAGCTCGGGCAGAGAAACTTGATGGAGGGGAAGGAGAAGTGACAGTACAGGGCCCGCCCCCCGGGAAGATGGACCCCGACAGTTTCACGACCCTGAGCGAGGCCCAGAGCCGACCACAGCCCTGAGCGCTGCTCAGAGGAGACACCACGACCAACGAACATCAGGATGTGGGGGAAAGGGGTGGAACCCACAGCTCAGAACAGGGATCGGGGGACGGAGGCTGAGACCAGAGAGGCTCACACCCCACACACAGGTGCTGAATTCGAGGAGACTGAGCATCACAGACGAAGGTTACACAAGAGAGCCTGGAAACAACAGCAGAGGGAAATCTCAGGCAAGGACAGAGACTCACAAGCCAGAGACAGACTCACAAGCCACAGACGGAGACTGACAAGCCACAGACGGAGACTCACGAGCCACAGTCAGAGACTCACAAGCCACAGATGGAGACTGACAAGCCACAGACAGAGACTCACAAGCCACAGTCGGAGACTCATGAGCCACAGACTCACAAGCCACAGTAGGAGACTCACAAGCCACAGACGGAGACTGACAAGCCACAGACGGAGACTCACGAGCCACAGTCGGAGACTCACGAGCCACAGTCGGAGACTCATGAGCCACGGACAGACTCACGAGGCACAGACAGAGACTCACAAGCCACAGACGGAGACTCACGAGCCACAGTCGGAGACTCATGAGCCACAGACAGAGACTCACAAGCCACAGTCGGAGACTCACAAGCCACAGACAGAGACTCACGAGCCACAGTCGGAGACTCACGAGCCACGGACAGACTCACGAGCCACAGACGGAGACTCACAAGCCACAGTCGGAGACTCACAAGCCACAGACAGAGACTGACAAGCCACAGACGGAGACTCACAAGCCACAGAGACTCACGAGCCACAGTCGGAGACTCACGAGCCATAGACGGAGACTCACGAGCCACAGTCGGAGACTCACGAGCCACAGACGGAGACTCACGAGCCAGAGATGGAGACTCACGAGCCACAGACAGAGACTCACGAGCCACAGTCGGAGACTCATGAGCCACGGACAGACTCACGAGGCACAGACGGAGACTCACGAGCCACAGACGGAGACTCACAAGTCACAGTCGGAGACTCACAAGCCACAGACAGAGACTGACAAGCCACAGACGGAGACTCACAAGCCACAGAGACTCACAAGCCACAGTCGGAGACTCACGAGCCACAGAGACTCACGAGCCACAGTCGGAGACTCACGAGCCACAGATGGAGACTCACGAGCCACAGTCAGAGACTCAACGAGCCACAGAGACAAGCCACAGAGACTCACAAGCCCCAGACAGAGACTCACGAGCCACAGACGGAGACTCATGAGCCACAGAGACTCATGAGCCACAGTCAGAGACTCACAAACCACAGTCAGAGACTCATGAGCCACAGTCGGAGACTCACGAGCCACAGACGGAGACTCACGAGCCAGAGATGGAGACTCACGAGCCACAGACGGAGACTCACGAACCAGTCAGAGACTCACAAGCCACAGACAGACTCGCAAGCCACAGTCAAAGACTCACAAGCCCGAGGCCCGGAAAGCCGCTGTACTGATGGGAAGTGAAATCCGGCAGGGGCAGGAGAGGGGCGGACACAAGAGGAACAGCGCCAGGGCTGGGGCTTGCAGGGGGACCTCAGCCAGCGGACGCAGCACTCAGGAACTGGCAGCCTCCTGTACACCGGCCGTTGCTGCCAAGGAGCTGGAATCTGCATCTGCCCCCCACCCCCCTTGGGCGGCCTCCCTCTGCAGCCTCTCCCTGGCCTCTCCCGCCCAGCCCTGCTCAAGCCCCACCGCCTTCCTAAGGCCTCCCTGTCCTGAACGTCTGCTCCAACGATCACCTGGGCCTGGGTGCTCTGCCAGTGGGCAGACGGGGCCTTAGGCCTGGCAGTGCTGGTGACAGCCGTGTCCCTGCAGGTGAGTAGCCCCATGCCTCCCAGAGGTGACCTCAGAGGTGCTGCTGGGGCCAGCGGTGCCTTCCCCACCCCGGGGCCATGAGGAAGACTGCCCCTCACAGGCCACCCTGGACACAGTCTGTGGCAGCCGCTACAGCAGGACCCTGTGGCCATGGGGGGGCCGCACAGCTTCCCACCCAGGGAGGCCTCCTCACCCCGACACCAGCCCTGGGGCCCTCACTGGGAGGAGAGACCCCAGCTCAGCAGGTGCGGCCATAGCCCACCAGGTCTCCACACCAAAGTCCTTCCCTGGGCATGGAAAGGCGTCTCCCCCACCACCTGAATGCACCGAGTGGCAGGAAGCTGGAGGCGGAGCCAGTACAGACCGGGAGGCGTCCACGCCAGCTGGGTGTCCATGGCGTGGCCCGGAGGCTGTGTGGGAGCTGCAGACCCTTCCCCCTCTCTGAGCCTCAGGGCCCTGTGGCCACCAGGGTCCACTCAGCCTCGCCCAGGCTCTGTGCCACCCTCGAACCAGCAGCCGTCACTGGGAGCTGGAACATTCAGATGAACGGCCGGTCTCTGCCTAACAGCCAGTTCTGCCGGCTGTGACTCGATCCCACACCCACTCACCTGCTGCCGCTCCCGCGTGGACCACAGGGTCTGCAGGATCTGCAGGAGCAGGAGGGGGTCCTGGCCTGCGGGGACAAGAAAACAGACGTGGGAGGATCAGGGGCAGGGGCAGGGGCTGCGGCACAGCCCACCAGGAAGCCCCTCCCACTGACCCCCAAGGCCCGGGGCTCCTCTGGACCTGGGGGGAGCCCTCCCCACCTCGGGCACACACAGAACACATCTGCCAGCTGCCGCGGTGCCCACCCTGGCCCGGGCTCACCGCCATCCCTTCCCTGTGGCCTGCCCCTCCCCTCGGCCCCCTGGCAGCACCTCCACGCTCAGCCCTGGGAGCTGGGCCTCGTCCTCCAGCTGTGGTCACAGAGCAGCCCCAGGGCTGGGTCCTCTGCTGTCCAGGCCTTTATAGGCCTGAGCCTCACCTGCTCCGCCCAGCGCCCTCGGCAACCTCATCAGAATCTTCTCGCCCAGACTACGCTCCCCACCATGAGGACCCCAAGCCCCTGCCCTCCTTGCAGCTCTTTAGGCCTCCGTCGCCAGCCCCCACTGCCCCGCCCCTCCTTCCAGACCCGCCTGGGAGGCCGCCCCCACCTCACCGGTGCACGCTCTGCTGCAAACGTGCAACCAACGCTGCCCCATACGGACAGAGCCACCAGAGTGAGGCCCAAGGGAGGTTCCCAGAAAGAGCCTGGGGGCCCCGTGGCTTGGCCTGGAGGCTGGTGGTGCCTCAACCCCACCCAGGGGAGCAGGGACGCACCCAGGCTCCGTCATGTGCTGGGGTCGGGTCAGAGACCAGCAGGGACTCCACAGGTGTGGCCTCGGGGCAGGAGCCGGTGGATTCAGCAGTGAACTCCCCCGGGACCTGGGACCATGGAAACTGCTGGGCCCCCCTGGAGAGCAGAACGGGAACAGAGAAGGCCCTGGAGCCGCATGAGGGAAGCTGAGCACTCATGCGGATCAGATAAGACCCCGGCAGCTGGGTTCTGCCACATGTGCTGTGGAGCCCGCGTGATGGGTTCACCCCGAACGCCAGGCTGACTTAACGCAGGAGCCCAAGGCGTGGTTCAGCCCAGGACTGGAACAGAGGAGGGAACCATGTGGCCCTTTCTGCAGACACAGAGCAAACGTTCTCAAATTCAGTTTAGCTCACAGTTTAAGAAATCACTTAGCCAGACGGGCAGGGAGCACCCCGGACTGGGTAAAAGCCACCTACGAGCATGAAGCACTCCGGGCAGTGCACAAGGACGTCACCGCAGGTGCGTCCAGCAGGGAAGGGAACAGAAGCATGAGGACCTGCCGGCAACGTGACCAACCACGCAGAAAGCCACAAAGGATCAGAAGCCACGCTCTCAGAATTTACCCACGGGGCCGGGCACCGTGGCTCACGGCTGTCATCCCAGTACGTTGGGAGCCTGGGGCGGGCGGTTCATCTGAGGTCAGGAGTTCTAGACCAGCCTTGCCAACATGGTGAAACCTCATCTGTACTAAAAATACCAAAAAATTAGACAGGCGTGGCAGTATGTGCTTGTAATCCCAGCTACCTGGGAGGCTGAGGCGGGAGGATCGCTTGAACTCAGGTGTCAGGCGTTGCAGTGAGCCGGGATCATGCCATTGTATTCCAGTCTGGGTGACAGAACAGGACTCCGTCTCAAAATAAGTAAATTAAATTTAAAAAGATAACCACTCCCTACACCCAGCCTTTGGCTGGCATGGTGGCTCATGCCCATAATCCCAGCACTTGGGGAGGCTGAGGCGGGCAGATCGCTGGGTCAGGAGTTCAAGACCAGCCTGGCCAAGATGGTGAAAACCCACCTCTACTGAAAATACAAAAAAATTAGCTGGGCGTGGTGGCTCGTGCCTGTAATCCGATTTGGGAGGCTGAGGCAGAGAATTGCTTTAACTCAGGAGGCAGAGGTTGCAGTGAGCCGAGATCATGCCACTGTACTTTCAGCTTGGGCAACAGAGAGAGATTCGTCTCAAAAGAAAAAAAACAGAGAATTCACCGATAGTTCGGCATCAATGCTCAGCACGAGCCCAAGTGAGAAGATCAGTTGTTTCCCAACAGCAACAAACAGAAATGACAGGAGAAAAAAGAGTCTCGCTCTGTCACCAGGCACCAGGCTGGAGTGTAGTGGCGCGATCTCAGCTCACTGCAACCTCCGCCTCCTGGGTTCAAGCAATTTTCCTGCTCAGCCTCCCAAGTAGCCGAGACTACAGGCGCACGCCACCACACCCGGCTAAGTTTTGCATTTTTAGTAGAGACGGGGTTTCACCATGTTGGCCAGTACGGTCTCGATCTCTTGACCTCATGATCCACCCGCCTCGGCCTCCCAAAGTGCTGGGATTACAGGTGTGAGCCACCGCGCCCGGCCAGAAATGACCATTTCAAAAGTCACTTACAACAGCATCAGCCATGTCAGATTCCCTGGGATAAATCTAACAAAAGCAGCTCACACAAAACAAAAACCCACGAGCCGTCACAGGGCACCTGAGCTCCACCACCGAGGCCCCGGGCTCTTCAGTGCCTTGGGGCGGGGTGGCACGGGCCGGCGTTCTTGTCTGCATTCAGAACTATCCCAGCACGGCGCACATGGCGTGCCTCACGCAGAGGCTGAGAACACTCAAATGCCCATTGGAGGAGGACGAGGCACGAGGACCAGCCCAGGGACGAGGCCCGGGGGGAGGATGGACCTGTGTGGCCATGGCAGGCAGTGTGAGCAGTCCTGCATTCGTGGGCGGGACAGGGCTGGGTGGAGTGTGCCGTGGTGGGTTCAAGATCTCATGCTGAGCCATCATGTGTTCTGTGTTCCTTCCTACATGTGGGTTGCACTTCAAAATAAACAAAACAGACTTTTATATTGTTATCTATTGTATTTTATTTTGAGATGGAGTCTCAGTGGCGCCCAGGCCGGAGTGCAGTGGTGCGATCTCGGCTCACTGCAACCTCCGTCTCCCGGGTTCAAGTGATTCTCGTGCCTCAGCCTCCTGAGTAGCTGGGATTACAGGCGTGCGCCACCACACCCAGCTACTTTTCGTATTTTTAGTAAAGACAGGGTTTCAGCATGTTGGCCAGGCTGGTCTTGAACTCCTGAGGTCAAGTGGTCTACCCACCTGAGCCTCTCAAAGTGCTGTGGTGACAGGAGTGAGCCACCGCGCCCAGCCCACATTTTCTCTTAAAGTAGAGTTTCAGATGTGTGAGATGAGAAAGTCTGCAGGTGGATGGGGATGGCGACTGTGCAGCCAGGTGAGTCAGTGTTGGTGGTCTTCCCCGCCGGTGGTCTTCCCCCGACCCGTCAGTGTCGGTGGTCTTCCCCGCCCCCCCCATCAGTGTCAGTAGTCTTCCCCCACCTACGTCAGTGTCGGTGGTCTTCCCCTCCCCACGTCAGAGTCGGTGGTCTTCCCTGCCCCCGTCAGTGTCGGTGGTCTTCCCCCCGCCCACGTCAGTGTCGGTGGTCTTCCCCCCGCCCACGTCAGTGTCAGTGGTCTTCCCCCCACCCGTCAGTGTCGGTAGTCTTCCCCCACCCCACGTCAGTGTCGGTGGTCTCCCCTCCCCCTGTCAGTGTTGGTGGTCTTCAGCCCTGCTCATGTCCTTCTGGTCCTGCCCTCCAGGTGGGCAGGGTCTGGGCCCCACCCCTGGCCACTCCAGCTCCCAGGGGCCTCCCTGCCTTGCCACTGTGCCCTCAGACAATGCCCAGCCAGCAGCAGACAGAGCCCTAGGGTCCCACAGAAACATGGGGTGGGCCAGGCCCCTTCTCTGTGGACTCCACATGGCCCCCGGACCTGCAAGTCAAAGCCAAGGCCCGATACACCCTTCTAACCTCCACCCTCCCTGTGACCCAGACCCTGCCCCCTGGGTCTGAGGCTGCTTCTCAAGTACCCAGCAGCCTGCCCGGGAGTCCCCTGTGGCACCACTGCCCCTCTGTCCCCATCCCTTCACTGTGGCCTGGACACTGAGCCCCAGGGCAATGACCGCCTGGGTCTCCTTCCCGGCCGTGGCCGGTATATGATGGGCACTCCACGGCGCCCAACCCACCATTCCAGGGCCATCTGCGCACTCACGGTGCTCACAGCCCACGCAACTGGGGAGCCCCGGGTCTCAGGCCGGAGCTGGAGGCAGCGTGGCGGGTGTGTCCGGCCGAGTCTCTGCCCGCCAGGCTAGGACACGGCCATGCTGACACTCGTCTCACACAATCACTGGCTTCCTGTTCATACAACAGAAGAAAAACAGGATGTCCAGGGGCGGCTCTGTCTGAGCCAATGACACAAGTGAGCTCTGTCAGCCCCGAGGCCCAGCATCGGGAGGTCGGGGTGCCTGGGAGGGCCCCGGGGAACACACCCCACTCAGTACACAGCACCCCAGGCACCCCAACTCACGGATGCCTCGCAGGGACAAGGTGTCTGGGAGGGGTAGGTGGGGCTTGGAGCTGATGCTGAGGGACCTCTCAGACCCACTCTCCGGCCCCGGAAGCCCGACCTGCCCTCCCTGCAGTCACCTCTTTGTGCCTTTGGTCCCCAGCGTGGACTTTTGCCCAGCGCTCTGCGGGGGGCCTCTGGCCCCATACCTCCACCCCCAGGCCCGGGGCTGGCCAGGCCCAAGTTCATCAGTGCCGCACCGACGCCTGGGACCTGCTGACAGGAGGCCAGACGGCAGGTCTGCGATACTGAGACAGATGACTCCCGGCTGGGAGGTGACCCCGGGCCCCGGATCCCGGACCCCACTCCTTGGGAGCATGTGGGTGGGGCAGAGCAGGGCAGCTGTGTGTCAGGAGGACACCCCAAAAGGAACTCAAGCTCAAGAGTCAAAGTCTCACCATCCCCCAAACGCGGCTTCACATCCTGAACCTGCGCTACTTCTCCCTGGGGGGCCTAATCGTGGCTCCCCCACCCCAGCCACCGTCCCCAAAATGTGCCCAGGAGGGCTCAGGAACTCCGTGGGGTCGGCTTGGGGGCGCCCATCAGATGCGGCCAGGACGGCTCCACCCAGCCCCCGGCAGTCCTCAGGCCAGCCTGGCCTCAGGGACACCCCCGGCCAGCCGATGGGAGTACAGATGGTGGCAGGGACGCCACTTCC